CTTGAACAATTTTGGCTTTGTACAAATTTACGGTTTTGAAAATTTCTTGGAATCTAGAAAAAATCTATTAAATCCTTAAAATATCATTCTGCTTTTGAAAAATCTACTCCAAATTTCTCAAATACGAACTTTTAAAAAATGACATTCGCTTTAAAACACGCTCAATTAAAAAATGCTTTCCATTTATCAAAACATGTTCCATTCTGTTCGACCCTGCTTCGTAATTTGGGAGTATTCCGACCGATATAACCCGGACAGTTCACAAAATTCTTGGTACAGACGCGGCTATCTGGTTTTTCAATGAGGGTAGACAATAAGCGGTGAGATGACAGCTATGATGCTTGTTGGTGGGGGAGGGTTCTGACGTTAGAATAACACCAGCAAGTAGTTCATCAAGGCTGAATGGATAAAGCAAAACGGCAGTGCTTGAAATATGGAGCTCTTACCATATCCCGTCACGCCCGCGTACAGATGCCTCAATAGCCTAACGATGCAACGGTATAAACTCGGCAAGGTGAAGTTTTCCAGCTGCAGCGTATTCTAAAGAAATGTCCAAAATATTGTGTACTTCTTTTGTAATAACTATCATGTAAATGTAATGAGCACAATCTATATGCACACAATCCCCAGGGGGTCCCCGGTTTACAAGCCCTGCTTTTTAGAGACCTCCTCCACTTACTATCGAGTACTTGCTTTATTTAAACGTGCTAATGGATTCACTGTTTTGACAGGAATAAGTGGAAATAAAATGAATGAACTGAACAGAACAAATACTGCTCAGACAATTGATCTGCACTCACGGCCGCCGACACAGTTGGCACGCTCGCCATCTTTCGTATACTTTCAATTTGCAAAAAAGGGTTAATGTGTGCTGACCCCCTCGATTAGGATTGGTTGGGATTTTTGCTACCCCAACATACTGAAACACATAAGAAATTCCTGACAAGTTAGACTGAAAGGCCTCGTGGCTGCGCCACTCGTGCATGTAGTCTCTGGTCCAGCCGCTTTGTAGTTACACATAAACACAGCCGCGAAGGCCTTGACGAAAGGCTAAAGTCGCCGCGGCAAGATAGAAACTCAAAAATTGCAAGTGGCCCTTATACGCTTCTGTACTCACGAACGGACAAGGAGTTGTTCCCTGGAGCTGCCCGCTCGAAAATCGATGCTGACTGACCGTTACAGCCACGCACCCTGGCGTCACCTCTAGCTCTACTTATTGTAGCGGTCCAGTCCTTCTGCCGTTGTCAGGAGGGTGGAGATCCGTCCGCCAATTAAGGAGGATAGGAGGCGCAAAACCAGGCAAAAAATGGACTCGAGACGACTGTGGCTTGATTCCCTTCGATTTATTCCCAGGTGTCAATCAGCAATGAAATTGTAACCAAAAAGAAGCCAAGAAAAAAAAACCTAAAGAAAGACAGAGGACATACTATTAATGAGTGATGGCTTTAAATTCTCTTACCATGACGTCTAAAAGATTACCCAAATTGGCATGAACTCTAAAGCCAACGGAAATTTAGGGTTTAGGTTATCCCACAGGGAGTCATGTTGCTGTGACTACCAGCCCACCAAGGTGCAGGTCTCAAACATGGGACTGTCACTGAGAAAAGCCCAGAAACTTCTCGGGTCCTGATGTCCAGGTGTGACGTCATTTTGAACCAGAGGGTGCGTTTGAGCGAGCTACAAACACGAGTACTCCTGCGCGCACGAATGGCTGGAGTACCCGAGTGTAATGTGCATGCATCCTACTCGTGTTAAGAGGAGTAACCGCGCGAATGCACCCAGAAAGTGTAGTGCAAACAAATGGAGCGCTAATAGCTTTTACAGACGTAACTGTGAGCGTAATGTATTCACTTTGGTACTCTGAAAATTTTCAAGCAAATGGGATGGAACTATTAAAGGTGCCCTCTATCAGCACATGGCCAACACAGTAGTTCACGAAAGGCTGAGTTGGGGCGGCTTGTTCTCCTATGTTCACGAACCGCTCGATTTGTTGTTCGTTAGTCGGCCGCTCGAACACTGGGAACGTACAAGCGGTTATTACATGCATCATGGCGGCATCCATGTACGTTCTTTCAGAGTGAACTTTGGAAAGCTGGGCTGAATTCTTTTCTATTTAAAAAGGAACATTCAATTCTTCGCTATGGAAAATTATTATTGTTAATTTTGTACAATTTCCCATTGTCCACGGCTTTGTGAGCCATCTCGATATTGTTTGCGGCTGTTCAAAAATAAAAAACTCAAGAGTTTTCCGGTGTGTTCCAGTAAAACCCTGACGAGGAGGTGGTGCGTGCATCCTGTTCCGGGAACAGTGTTCTTGAGTCGTGTTCCTGCCGACGGTTCGAGCGCGAGAACAAGAAACCCGTTTCAAGACAGGCCGCCCGAACTCGACCAATGGGCGTCATGCGTGCATCGCGTCGTGCCTTGAGCGACGTAACACGCAAAGCGATGCACAACACAATGCACAATGCGATGTAAGGCGATGCGACGCGAAGAACGACGAAAGGAGCGACTTTTAGTCAAATGGAGGAGGACAAGAAGACAGCGTAACGCCACCGGCGACGTGTGACTTACTAGTCGTAGTATGTACTAGTAGTATGCCGCTCCGAAAATTGCGCGATTTTGAAACCACAGCTTCGTGTGGTTACTTAATTCCACTACCTCCATGATTCCACACACTATAAGCAATGTGAATTTGACACCGAAATACTCGCGGATATAAATGTAGGCTTTTGAAATGACTGCCAAAATCGGTGGTATAATCACCTAGCCTTGTTCAAGGAGTTGGGCGATGATTTTTGACAACCCCGGCCGTCAGGTCTGCCGTACGTGCGTGGCGGAAACACTGCACAGTGTGGCCGTGGCACGACACGATGGCCCAATGCCATGCCGTATAGTTGCGTCGCCTATGAAATGTCATTTTTTGGTTGATAGCTCTTGAATCTTTCATTAGCAAACCACAGATGAAAGAAAAATGAGTAAACATGACGTCACAGTCATTACTACATGTACATACAAATACACGAACCATTGAATGCTTCATGTCTTAACTGTTCTACAGATTGATGGTCCTAAGGGACCCGAATCATTAATCTAGCCTCGTTTTCTCTATCCGGTTTCATTAAATTCTACTCACAGATGCCACCGTAATGACATGGAAAACATCCCGCCGTTTCTGATAGTGGGCCTGTTATATGTTCTGACGGATCCAACCGTGTCTGCAGCTACCTGGCATTTCCGGATCTTCGTTATTTCTCGTTTCTTCCATACGGTGGCCTACTTGACACCACTCCCGCAACCATCACGTGCACTCGGCTTCTTCGTAGGACTAGGTGCCACCATATCAATGGCTTTAGACGTTCTGAAGATGGGCCATATATAATTGCTATTAAGCTATATATCTCAGTTTCCACACTTCTGAAAACTGCATAATTTTGAATGTGTTTAGAATTCGGATTAAAATTAACACAGAGTGATGTGAATCAACTAATTTGTAGAAATTTGGAATAATAAAAAAGTGAAAGTAAAAAGTAAGGTAAAAATGCTATGGTTGATATACAACTGGTTGAGTACACTTGGTTGAAAATTTGGCATATTTTATGGTGAATTAAATTGATCAAGAAGTGCATTGCCTGCATGCTGGCAAGCACAGCAATAAATAGCACTGAAGGAGAGACCTGAACATTACTCTCTATTTATAAAAACACATACACTTGGAATTGATTTGATTCAACCTTGCACTCTTCAATGCTTTTTGGAGGAATATAGTTGAAAGGACTACCTGTTTCTGAATTTGTTACTGGGAAAATTCAAGCGAATCAAATAGCAGTATTAAAAAGACGGATGAGGGTGATGGGCGCTGTAGTGCAACTTTTTTTTGGTCACAATTTTCAAACAACCCAAGTTTTGCCATTTCCAATGGGAAAATGTTTTGGAGTTTCAGTGCGGGCAACAGACCTCTTACAGTTTGTACTTGTAACTGTTACTGTTAACATTGCAATCTCTTTATTTGTAGCGACTACTTCCACTCTCTTTTATTGACATGTTGGATTTTCACAGTGCAATAAAAGGATATATGTGCTCTCCAGGCACCAAGGAATATGTGAAACTATAAGCTTTACGTTTGTATCAAGGATGCAAGGGTGAGGGGAATTAACAGACCAACATTGTGATCAAAGGTTTCAAGTGGGGAGGGGCACCTGATGTTCTGGCATTGGCAACGCAAATGGTTTCAGATGCATGAATTCCTAGAGCAAGAAAATGATGAGAATTAGCAAGATCCTTTCTGAAATTCTAATAACTGGTGGTGCTTTTTAAAAGTATGGAAGAAAACACCTGTGCAGTGTCCCAAATTCCTGCACCTGTGCAGTGTACCAAATTCCTGCACCTGTGCAGTGTACCAAGTTCCTGCAAGGAATTGTAGTCAGGATGGTCTGAGGCAAGCCTTCTAATAGTGTACAGAATAGTTACATGTGGTTGAAACAACTTTCAAATTGAACACTTTTTGGACACACTTTGATGAAAAATACACAATTTTATTTCAAAATCAGGATTGTTCTATGTCAAAACAAAAAACATTTTAGTTCAATACAAAACATTGATATACAAATTGACCCAACTTAGACATGTTAAAAATTTAAAATGGTCACTGAGATTAAACAAGACAACGCTGAGGAGAATAAAAGTTTTTTAATGTAAACTATGAAAGTTTAAACACCCAAGTATTTACATTGCTTATGACTGAAATCAGTCACAGAACTTTACTCAAGGGCTGTTCTGAAAAATGAATCGCATGTCTCAGAAATTAATTTTCATAGTGTGTATGCAACAATGTTAAACATACAATGTACACATATGCACTAACAGGAAATGTACACTAAAAAAATCAAATGTTAGCTAAACATTGTTAATTTGTTTATGGCATTTCATACATTTGGCCTGTTAATGGTCCAACCAAACTATTACGTTTTCTGATCCCTCAGCTGGTTAACCTTGTTTTGACCAATTTTATGTCAACAGTTTTACACCCTTACAAGAGGGTATGGTGTAAGCTTTATACTTACCATGTAGTTGTAATGAATTGTTTTAAACTCAATTTTTCTTCAACTTTATACCCTTGTTCAGTGTATGAAAACTCTTTTACATTCCTTTTTGGTTAAATGCATTGAAAAATGCACTTTTTAAACACTGGACATTATCCATGCTTTCCAGGACAACTGAGGGAGCTGTTGCTATAATGTCATTCAGGAAGGTATACATTGTTCAGTGCATAGGTTTTATTTGTTCAGATAGTGAACCCAGAATTTCCTCACTGAAAACATATCAGAGAAAGGGATTGTTTACTGCTTTGCACATAATCAAGGATGAATCAGCAAAGACAGGAAAATTCAGCCTTGCAAAATTTACAAAATGTGGGACTTTTGGGTGTACAAACCAATGTAACATTGATGCTTTTTTCGTGGGGTGACATTACAGGTTTGCTCATGAATATGGAAATCTTTATTAGTATGACACCAAAAAGGCAGCAAAATACCCTTTGACAGAGTGAAACAAAAGCTAAAAATAAGGCTAATGAAGACACGACGGTGCATTTTTGCAATACTTATTGGACAAAATAATTGAATGCAGCAGGCCTTTAAAAAAGTTGTTGAGTATGCTCAGGTAGCTTTAGAAATTCAACAGAAGCTACATATGATCACTTATTGTGCATGTATTTATGTAAACTTATTCTCTACAATATATTCGAGTTTACTCTGATAATTATCTACGTGCAGAAAAACTGAAAAAGCACCTTTTCATCTGTTTTGTACATATATAAACACAATAAACTGCCGTATCTGAGCAACCCCAAAATACAGGTGAAAGGTAATGTGGTGGTAATTGCTTAGAAATTTGCCATCAGTGATTTGTCCAAATGCAGCATAATATACCCATTATGTACGTTAACATTGATGCACTTGGGCTTTAATACTGTTTTTCAAATTGGTCCACATACATGTAGGAAGTTCTAATATTTATGTATAAAGGCACACAGGAGAGCTTATAAAGAAATATATTAGGAAAACATTGTTAAAATGGTACTTACATGTAACGCAGAAGGCCACAGCTTTGACACTTAAAAAAAATAAACTTCAAAATGTTGTAAGGTGGTTATAATACAATACGTTCATACCCTAGTTTACCATTTATACAGACAGTATACCTGCAAGATGTACAAGGGAAATGTTGAAAAAGAAGTTTATCTTGAAATTTACAAGATGTTCTTTGTTTTCATATTTAAGCAGGGAAATTGTTCAATTTCAAATGTATTCAAATCAAAAGTCCTAATTCATGGCAACATGCATGGACACAAGTGTTTCAAGACATCTCAGATTAGATGTCTTCAATTAATGAGTAAACAGATTGAGTGAGTTTTTCAAAAAAGGCAGGGGAAAGAGGGAATTATCTTTTGGTTTATTTCTACAGTAAAGAAAATGAAGGTAGGACAACTCACATGTTCATCAATGCAAGAACTTAAATTTTCTCAATTAAAAACGACATACAGCTGAAATTAAATTTGTTTTTAATATGACAATTTTATCAAAAGTATGCATATGTAGAGCATTAAGTTTCAAATACAAAATTACACTTAATTCTTAACACTTGCTTTTGGTACCATACAACTACCTCTTAATTTGTTTACAAACTAAATTTTAATGCGACAGTGTCGAGTTGTTCAGTGGCTTTAACAAGTTTTCAGATTTGTTCATTCAAGTTCAGTCTTTTCATTCTTTCGCAAAATTGTATTCAATAAAATCTACCACTGATGAAATTATGTCTGTTTAGAGATAACATGCAAAAAGTACCTGAACAAAAGAAAGGAAGGAGAAATGTATCTGAAAGGCAATCTTTACAGTGAGACCCAGCAGAGGTCTTGAAGGATAACATTTTTGAGATAGAAGGCAGTAATTTAAAAACAGCACAAAAGCAATGTGCATTACCCGGAAAGCAAAAATATTTTAATAAAAATATGGAAGAAGTGTCTGTAAAAATGTAAGTATAAAAATGGAAAATTTTACAATTTCCATGTGATCAGAATTTGTTCTTGATTTTATTTGTATTTGAAGAAACATTACACAGTTTAATGTGTCTGTCTTGGTACTCAACATGGGACCTAGCAGCAGGCCTGTATGGCATATGTGGAAAAATCAAGTGAAGTGTATTAATCTCCAATTAGAAATCAGGCACAAGTGAGCATAAGTGTGCAAAGTGCACGTACATTACTGACTGTAGTATGCACAGTGCATATTTTGCTGATATTAATGAGAAAAATGGATGTGAGGGTGGAAGAAAAAATTGTAGGTACTGTCATTCATTGTTATTTCATTCACACCTCCAGATGATGTTCATAAAGCCCATACAAATTTAAATACATGTACAGGCTTTTCAGCCATGTTGTAGCACTTGTTTTAATTCAAATGTGGAATTCCTTATTCCAAAAAAGCCTACAGTAAAGACCCATTTAGATACCGTGTCCTAGGTTCAGTTTCTCCACGTTTGATTTAGGAACTACATGAATGGTCAGTATGACAACCCAGAAGTGATTAAAGGAACTGTGACTGAGTGATGTCACTACAAACAGTTTCCAGCATTTTGTGTGATGACTGGTTCAATCTATCAGCCATCTTAACTGCTGCTTCCAGATCCTGGTTGGCACGATGAGCAAGCTGTTAAAACAAATGAAAACAAAGCTGACTAAAGATTTTGTGTCCAAAAGAATTCTCACTCCATAATTCAGTGCCTTCATTATTCCAATTGCTTCTCAACTTCTTGTAGAATTCAGAGTCGAAATATCATGTTACTTCATGTTAATTCTTCAGCAGTCTTAATAACCTCAGGTGATTACCCTGATGCCATTGATATAATTCACTGGCTGTCTACCTCAGTTTGGCCTTTCCCCTGCCTTGGCAGATTGTGTTGGAAGGTCTTTAAATCATTTGTGTTTGACAAGATTGATTCAATATGCCCTTGTCATTTGGTCATTTTCAAAGACTAGAGTAGAAAATATGAGCATTTTCCTTGAGAAGTTATTCCCTTTTTTTTAATAGTTGGTCACATCATGTGGTTAGCTATGTTGTGATCAGTGTTCTCCGCAGGGGTTTTGGCAGGGCAGGCTGCACTGCCAAAATGTTTTACTACTGGAGAATAGTTTTTGTCGCTTCACCAAATTTTTTTCCACTGGATTTTTTTCACCATTATGAATGTCTTGACAGTTTAAGTACAAAGAAGTACTTTGGCACAAATATGAAGAGTTTGATGGCATTAATATAGTGAATAGTGAATTTTTCGAGTTGACTCAGCCCTAAGAACTTGCAGATGTGATTCTGAAAATTTCAACCGTATGACCGTAACTAAAATGGACCGATAAACTAGTTAACCAATTATGTACCTGCATGGCCCTGACGCCACATAAAATTGGTTATGCCCATGTAGTTGGGTACATACATCATTTGGTACAATGTATTTTTGATTCACGTGTGATCATCAATGAAGCAAAAATGTTCATTCAGTCTTTGGCAAATACTGAAATTCGGAGGATTCCAAAAGTCATTTGGATTCAATAGACATTCACTTTGTTGCACCAAGAACCAGTTTACCTACATGTAAATTACAATGCTTTGTAACAAGGGCATATTTTTTTCTTGGAAAATTTCAACCATGCACCGTAACCAATCAAGCAGCAGGGCAACTGACTATTGTTAGCCTGCATTGCACTTCAGGCAACCATTCACCAATTACGCAAAACAGTGAATTAACATTCTGCCACTGAAAAAAAACCAAAGAAAATATCTTTTTATGGTCAAGGTAGTGAGAGATGAGTGTTTCTGGGCACAATGGGATTCAGTGTACTGAAAATGGGTAACATTGCAACCCATTTCTGCTGGTGGATAAGCTATGTTGGACCATGTTATGAAGACTTACACCTGACATATAATCTTGGAAACAGCTTGATCTTTTGTCTTCAACTTCATTCCCAACTTTGCTTAATAACTTTACCTCATATTCAAGTGTATTAACCCCACCTTTTAAGTACTGCAATACACAATTTTATATCAAAGTGCCATATCATAGCATTTCTGTATCCCGATTATTAATGCATTGGGTATTGTTATGCCCCTACCAAAGAGATATCACAAATTCCAGGTACGAACACACAACCAAGGACATTTTAGATAATGGAATGCCTTAGGTATAGGATGTGAGGACCAGAAGGGTGAAAAGATAAAAACAACCACCACATACCTTGGAATCTTGGGTTTTAGGCATTAATGATGAAACCTTTGTGCTACTGCTTCCCCTTGGAGTCATAGGATAAAGGGTAAAACAAACAAGACAGCAGAATCACATTCATGATCACACAAATGTAACCTGAAACACCATATATAGCCAGGCATCATGCCCCAATTACACGATGCAACCTGGGAAGTGGTGAACAGGGACCACTAGGGGAGAATGTGGCTTTTTGCTTGTGAGCACCTATTCAGTTTCCCTATATAGTGTAAGTCGACAACCAGAATTAGAAGCCATTACTGCAGTGGCATAATGCTCATGGATAGGGGGTACAAGTGCTTTACATGCCTCTTTGACCAATAGGGTGTCATGATTTGCCAAATGCACACGTGCATCACTCCAAGGAATGTAAGTGTGAGTGCAGTACCACTGCAGTTATGGCGTCTAATCAGATCAGTCTATAGTTTATTTCATGATACAAGAAATTGATAGAACTTCAGTCCTCCAAACTTCTCTATTATTTCTAGAATGTATTCCTCAGCAGGGTCACCATTGCTTTAATCGTTTCAAATCCTCTTGGCATTTCTTGCTAGTCTCATTCAAAATCCTCTGGTATTTCTGGTTAGTCTTTTGAGACAGTGCAAAGAATGTCCCAGAGCAGTGTGTATAATTTCAAGTACATAAGCCTAACTTTACGCATGAGCAACACAAGGTGGGCTTAAGAGCTTAACACAATACAGCCTTTGAAACCAACCTCACATTTTGGCCATAGTCTCAATCCTTCCAAATTTTGCACTCACAGTGGAATGCTACTAAAACAAACTTTGACAAGGGCTACACAAAATAGCAGTTGTTCATTACAGTGATTCACACTCCCATTCCGATCGCAGGCTTATATTGAAATGTGCTGCCATCTGCCTCAAAGACGTTTCAGTATGAAGATTTTGGATCAGCACATACGTGCAAACAAATAAAGTTAACAAGAGCTACTATGTCTGTTTGCCACAGAACATAGGGCTTGTCTGCATTTCCAAGTTCGAGAAAAATACAATTGGCATACGTGCATACTTGTTAGTAGAGGGGTAGACAAAATACTAAACGAGCTCAAGTATCTATGAAGATATGCAGAAAAATATGTCTGTAAAAATTCCAATGATGATGTCATCATAGTGTCATCATCAGTTTCACCCATAACACATCCCTTTCTACCTACAAACATGCATAATGGAATTGGATTTTCAGTTCTTTTCATACAACCTTAAAATGTTCACCTTTAACATGACGTTATTTACCCATAACACACACATCACCTTCAATTTAAACTAAAAGACCCCATTATTCATACATACCAAGAGTGAACCTTATTGGTCTCAAAATTCTCCAGGTATACGACACTAAAGTATGGGCCTTTGAGATGATGTCTCTTGACCTCTAGCAACCTTATCCTAACGTGACTGAAATTATCATCTATAACACATTCCTGGCTATATGCGTACACAAATTGAACCAAATCAGACTCAAAGTTATCTAGTTATAACACATGAAACTGTATCCCTTTCGGATGATGTCACTTGACATCATAATGTAACCGTGCTAATCACAAAAAATGCATCTCAGTCTACATACATGTACATCCCATGTAAATATAAACCAAATATAACTCAAAGTTCTGCAATCAACTTCGCAGGCATGTCATATGACTTCAGATGATGTCATCATCACTGTTCTTTAAGAATTAAAAAATATCTGTACAGGAGATATGTCAAGCACAGTGCGCCCCCTCCCTAAGATCTGGATATTGCACTGAGTGTAGGGCTGATTGAGGGAGGCTGGGGGTTACAATTTTCCCCTTCAACATAATGATTTACATTAAATTATGGCTCGTGAATTGGGCTAATGGTTCTTAAATATAAGCTCAATTTACTAACATCAATTTATTAATATAAATATTTCTCTGCAATCAGCTAGAAACAAAGACACTTATGGTACTCAATATAAAAACAAGTGACAAACTGTATACATAGTGCATTGTGTATGGTATATTCAGTCACCTATATGGCAGCAGCATGAATTTGTTTTTCAGGAATTTAATTTTTTTCTGACCAACAGATCCTCCCTCAATTGAAAAAAGATATGAGAACCATGGAATATAAAATGGGTGCCCTAATCCAGATGGTGCACAGCAAAGGGCCAATCAGGACACAAAAATACTTGTCACTCATCTGACACACACATTAATGGTCATGCTGCAATTCAAGAAGAGCTTAATTTTTTCATCACCCTCATTACCTTACAATTTCTGTCTGAAAAACAGACAGAGGTAATCAACATAAAATGTACAGAATTATTTTCTGTCACTTTATTCAGAATAATAGGATAGGAAAATAAATCCTTTGGTTTACTGTGTAAAGAAGATTCAAGATCTTTGACATGCATTCAGCATGGCCAGCCGCTGGGCAGGCCAGGCTGAATGTATGACATGCATCGCAGAGCACACAAGCTGTTTGCCAAGGGCAAAGATTACCATGTACACTCCACGAAAATGGCTCAAACGTCGACGAAAATAATGAAGGCATGATGTAAATCCCCCTGAAACTTCACATACTTGAATTGTAGTTATGAATTCTGTTAACCTAAACATATCGCAAGAATTGACTAGTTGAAATATGTAGTTAACCTGCAGAGTTTCAAAACTGGACTAAAATAAGTGCCAGAAACTGCAAGTAGAAGAAAACAGACTGCACACGAACATGCAAATAGGTTTACAAGTAAATATTCAAATATTGATAAGAAATCAATGGATGAGGCTGTGATCATAACTTTGCTGACATACTCTGAAATTGACTACCTACCCAGTGAATTTCATGTTGATCCACTTTGTATAGTACTGTGAATAAAAAATCGTACTGTTTGATGAAGCCATCATGACAGTCACAACATTTTCCACAAAACTCAAACATTTACGTAGCTTACTGGAGTTACTGCGGAAGCATTTTGAAAGAAACTCATTTGCTAAAGAAAAAACATCAAAGAAAAATGTAAAAAAAAAAACAGAACAATTTGGACAAATCTCAAGACATCAGTTGATGACCTTATCAATACCTCCACCAATTTTCATCTATAACACATCTTGCATTGTGCCTGTGCCAAGATTTACCAAGATGGGATGTATGGTTCTGGAGATATAGGCCAGCAAAGAAATCAACTTTTGAGGGCTTGTCATGTTACAACTGATGGTATTATCATGACATCTTGCTTCGAGGACCATCTTTGCTATTAGATCTTTGCTTTAGGTTAATTTCATGAAGTACCCTCTTTCAAAGGGACTAAAGTTGAGGGTAGAAAAACCATGCACAAAGTGAATGGGTTTTAGGGGAGAAGAGAAGGGAGCAGAACTGAGCTTTTGCCAAAAAGAATGCGTCTTCTGCAACTTGCAGAGAAGCCCAAAATAAAAAAGTGAAATTTCTGCCATTTGTTAAATGTATGTTCATCTCCTTCCATGTTTTATCTTGTGGGTGGTACTCACTAGTGGTAGAATTGCAAAATAAAATCAAATTTTCCTTGAGTCATCACTTAAAATTTACATGTGACATGTAGCATGGTTACACTTGTTCCTGTTGGTAAAATGCCAGTTTACTAAATGCACCGTGCCAGAGACCATTCTGAGACAGCAGCACTGAAGGTACACACATATCCACAGTTGGCCACAAAATGACAGGCAAGCATTTTTGAAGCTGATCTAAACATGCAAGATATTTATCAAAGACTTGTGCAAGTTATTTGTAAATAACAAATGCTTGCATTTGCGTGCATATTTATTTTCTGTTTTGGTGTTTTTTGAGGAGTTAAATCTCCCAGCCTTGTAGCAATTATTTTGCCAATTGTTTTTTGCACCAGTGTTGCCAGTGTTTATACACATACTCCGCAGCAAATCTGCATGGCCACCTGTGGACACATACACATTATATCCACAAACAATACATGTACAGACTGCACCATGGGTTGGCCATTGTTCCATCATGAGTGTGATTTTCTTCAATTTTGAGTTATTATCATAAATTCTAAATGTTCTTCTAATCAAAACCAACTTGTAATGTTAGGTAACTGTGCACAGAAAGCTTGGCAGCCAAAGGAGGATGCTCAGTATACCTGAATATTCGGTATAATGATCTTTAACGCTGTACTCACCGTATATGTACCAAGAGAGGAGTGAAGGATTTGGAGGGTGAAGGTTAACAATATAATAAAAAACAAAATTGTTAATTAAACAATCACTTTATATATTTAGCACTATCCACCTTTAGAAAGGCTTCAAGGTAATATGCAGAAAAGAGAAACACAGATTTAAGAAAAGGGGAGAGTTCATGCAACTTTTTAAAACCAAAAATGAAATAAACAGTCTTGAGAAATGATAGTTAAAAATAAAATAAAATTTCTCATGGTAAAATGGTAAGTTAAAGGGGCTTTTAGAAGAAGCTTAAAAATCTGATAATGGCTGGACAAAATCTTGTAATGACTGAAAGAGACTGGCAGTAAATTGACTGGTAGCAGTGCAGCTAGACTACATGCATCACAGACTGCCAGGTGACAACGACTGCTATGTTCATCAGACCTTCATGGTCAAATGTCTGCACAGCCCTCTTGACAGGGTTACCCGGTTCGGTACACATTGTGCAAGATTATCGTTAACTGGAGTAAATGGCACATACTTTTCTGTAAACTGGCTGCAATCTATGTTGCATAGGCTTATGTTTAATGATGTGTCACAGTACTGTGTACGAATGCAGACATCCAATGAAAAAGGTATACATGTACAAATGAAGCCTTATTTACACAAATCTTTTTTCAACTTCATGGACAAAGTAGAACACAGACAGGTTTATGTTCCCCAGAATATAACGTGCCACAAAAACGAAGAGACAAAATTACATGTAACCCCGGTTCAAACCTATATATACCTACATTGTATATATAACCAGTCTGATTAAGAGTTGGAGCTTTCCTGGATTGATTCCTACCTCATGATGTGTGGGACGGAAAAATGTATTCCCAGGGAAATCTTGTCTAGTTTTAAGATTTGTTCTAGGTCAATGCCTCAGATATTTCTCCTTCACATGTTAACTTACATGCAAGATGGTATTCTATTGTTAGGTTTTCCTAAACGATGTGCAGCTACTAAAGCACGTAACCCATAGAAAGTCGATTGCGTTGGTCTGACCTGGTAAATGTTCTTATATTAGTAATGTACCACTATGGACCACTATGCTCTCTATCTTAGTTACTGAACTGCATGTTCTGACAGAGGATCTGGAGGGGAGTCTCTGTAGTCCACCTGAAGAGCTGTCCCCAGACCTCTCGGCCACTGAGCTATTGTGACTTACAAACACAGCACAAGTACACCAAGGCATCTGTGGCACTAATCATCAGCATCAACCTTGCAAGATCCACAAGTATTCTTTTGCGTTACATTTCTTCTGTTGAACTTTGCCCTTCACTTTTGCCGACTGCCTACACAACACTATGGACTCCTGTCATCCAACCTTAGAACGACTCGTTGCAACTCCTCTGTATATCGAGAACATTGGCGCCAAATTTTTTTTTTCTTGAGCTCAAAGTGCCTTTTAACTTAGCAGGATCCTGCATTTTCTGTTAACCTCATATTTTAATTTGTGGCCATCTGAATTGGTGTTCTCTGCATTTACTTTGTATTTGTTGGCTGTTTCCCTCCAATAAAGCAAAATCTCTCTTGTGTTATAAATCCTGAATTGTGTGAAGTCAAGAGTTTTTTCAAAAGGAAATAAAATTAATATGAAATTTGGTTCCTGCTATTTTGAGATGTGAACCACGGGTTACATACAAATGAACTACAAAATTTCAATTGGTATTTTTTTTTCTCATGTTTTTCATCAACAAAGATATTTTTGAATGAAAATAAAAAAGTGATGGTGTGGTTTTAAACATACCAGTTTAAAGCCACTCCATCACACCAGCTATGATTTTCAGTGTATACATGAGTATATCATCCAATCTGTGCATACTTTCAAACTGTGGTCTTTACCAGTTCTGTCAAATTTGGAAGTATTGTGGAAGGTACTGATATTATAAGCAAATACCTCTTGAAATAAAACTCCTCCTCTATGCCAGTACTGTCAGTGTCTTCATCATTCAGAACATAGTACCTGCCTCTCCTCTTGGTAGGTGTGATGTAGATGATGGTTCCTCCTGGTTCTTGAGCCTTACTGTAAGATGATAAAAGATTAGCACAAGAGGGTTAGCATTTTTTTACAGACATTACTTGTCTCACACAAAGAATGGCTGAATTTATGTTTTGGGCATACTATCCTTGTTACCTGTGACACAGGGAGGACACCAGAAAAGCTAGCATAATTCTTGGATGATTCGTATCATTACTGACCTGTTATATAACCAGCAGTGCTAGGTCACGTATCTCAACATCCACCCCCACATACGTATGGGACGGATCTGCCAAGGAAGACTTGCCCAAATGGCACCACACATGCAAATTTTCCAGGTGCCTAATTTGCCATTCGTTGAAACAGTATCAACTGTAGTGCACCCTCACCTACCACAATGCACTGCAGCATTGCCACCACAAGATCATCCTCCTTTCCATAAGCACTCCGGAAGTCAGTTTGATTTTCTATAAGAAATTTCAGTGCTGGGATGAGATGCACTCCATGAGGTTCCTAATGTAGGCAGCCCTCCGCTATGATAGAGCTTGTAGCTCCCTGCCTCGGTGGGACATCGTCACTGCCAAGAGACAGGCCAGTTACATACTGACATGTATGAGAGAAGCATTAGCGAGACTTAAAGGGTGGTTCAGTTAGTAGCTGAACAACCCCAGAAGGTGCTTCAATATATTGTTGCTGGAGACAGTGAAGCCATCGGCAAAACTGTTGTGTATTGCAGTGATAGCCAAGAAATAGTTACAGATTGTAGCTACTTAAAGTCTGCAATGAAAATGGTACAAGAAGAAATCGGCCATAGCCATGACAGGTGTTTTGGTTGAATCCAGAGCCTGTTTCTTGCACCAGGAAGTGAAATGCCATAATCTTCTGTCATACATCTTGCAGGGGGTGGACAGACATCATCCCCATGTGGCCACGGTGGCAGCATTGACAGAAAGTTCTGCCGGTTGGAAGGATTGCTGCACAAGAGCCAGCATTTCAGGTACATCCACCTGATTCAGGTGCAGGTGTAAGAATGTCTGTCTTGGACCGTAGGACCAACGGTTGATGGATGAGGAGTGTGATCAGGCATAACAGCCATGGTGACTCAGCCTGAAGAGGGCAGTGAGGTGCACGTGGCAACTGTCTTGTTCAATCATGGACAACACTCTTGGGATTAGAATATTAGAGGGAAAGTGTATGATAGCATGTTGTCCTAGCTTGCCTCCAATGTGTCTGCACCCCATGCCCATGGGAGACGAAGTCTGCAGCTGATTTCGTGAAACATGGCCACTTTGAACCATGCATAGGCCTTGTGCCACAAGTTTGTGCCATAACTGCACAATATACTTATGTTCTATTAAAATTTGCATAGCTGTGCCACGTTTTAGTAAAATAAATTTCTTGGATGAGGACGATCTTTTAATGACAGCTGTTAGTTTTCATCTTTTCTAATTCATCAAAACCTGACAGAAAATTTAGAAGTTCTCTCACAGCCAAACAAGTTTATCATTACCTTCTGCAGCAAAGCTGTATGCTTCTCACATAAGCCTTGTTAAGTTCAGCAATGATGAGGTTTAACCGAACATGATGAGCAAGTTAAATCATTATTTTTGCTCGTTCGTCTGAACTTACGCCACCTAAAATGACTTACGCCATGATTTGTTGCGTAAGTCTGTCGCGCAACTTACACAATAAAATGTGGCTTAAGTGGAATTAAGCCACTGCGTAAAGTTTCGTGTAATCGGCTGCTGGTGCAGACATTGGCAATTGGGTGTTGTCCACCAATGCAAAGAGATCTGCGTGTGGTCTGCCAAGAATGTCGACGATCATGAGAGTCATTTCTGGATGTTGAGTCTGTTGGAAGAACTGTACCCCTGCAGAGGACATCCACTAGACAGTTGTTGGACCTTGGTATATGTGTGGCATGAACGTCGAGTGGAATGTATGCTTCATCATCCAGTGAGATTAACTGCTATGTCAGGAGGCACAGATCAGGGGAGCATGTGTTGCCTTGATGAAGTATGCCACTGCCCTTGAATTGTCTGTTCAGATCGTAACACACTTGCCCTTGATAATTGTCCGAAAGTGTCCCAGGGTGTTGAAGATTGCTTGAAGCTCTAGAACACTCATAAGAGCTTCCTGGAACTGAGGACCCCAGGTTTCTGATGTTTGGAATGGAGGTAACGAGGAAGAAATATGACAGACAGCCGTCCTCCGTC